TCGGGCTAAACATAATAATAATAATAATAATAATAATAATAATAATAATAATAATAATAATAATAATAATAATAATAATAATAATAATAATAATAATAATAATAATAATGGGAACACAGAACACTGTGGCCGGCTAGAAATCGGCTTGCCTCCTTCCTTCTCGCCGGTAGACCGTCGCGTACCTGAATAAACTCTCACACCGAAGGTTTCTCCGGTAAAGAGCCTCTTATGCTTAAGTCAGCACAAACTTTACTCAATTTTCAAGAGTAATAATGGATAAATCGTGTTCAAAATACAAGGCTCGCCCCTATATATAAAGGTGAGATACCTGCTTCTAGATCCTGCCCGTGTAAGCTGAGATGACTGCCCTACGTTGTGCTCGTCCTGCCCGTCCGTACACACAATGTGCGTGTGTCAGAAACGGTTATCATCATAGACCAATTCGGTCACGCCATGTGTCCTCTGCATACGGGATGAAGATTTCCCCGTATTCTCCCCGAAGGCTTTTATCTTCAATCATGCATAAGTCAGTCCTTTGATTGTTCTGTCTGTGAAGTGGTCGATCAAATGACGCCTTTGCTCAACACGTCAATTGTCGACCAGACCCTCCATGGGCCTAGGGCCGACATGTTCTCCTCGTATCGGAGTTCCCTGTACGCTATTCTCGTGGTGTTCGACCACGACCATTCTGCTCGATCCTGCACGGTTTGCTCTGACTCATTAAACCAGTCGAGTGAATCAGTCTATTCCTTTGGGTATAATATCCTATATTAAATAATAATAATAATAATAGTAATAATAATAATAATAATAATAATAATAATATACAGAAAAAATTACAACGTCTACTTAATGATTATTTTCAACGACTATTTACTATTTATCGCTCTATATATGGAACTGCACTTCATATATGAACACACATTACAAACTCTTAAATGACATTTTTTCTCAAAAGAAAAAAAAATGTTCGAACTATTACTTATAATACCATTTTACTACTTATTTTGTACGCTTCAGAAATTTTCACGATATTGTTTCATATTGTTGAATTTAGGAGGGTGTATTCAATTAGGATATACTTTTAGTGACTTTTTAAGACTTTTGAAATTTAGGTGTATTCAGTTGAAACTTTTTTAGACTCTCAAAAAGTTTACATGTATTCACTTAAGACTTTCCAAGAGTCTCTAAATGATATTGTTATTCAAGTTAAAAAGATTTTATGAGACTTTTCAAATAACTTTTGGAGACTTTTCTACTAAAATTATAAAGAAAAAGTTCTTTTGAAAATCTCACCAAACTTGTGAGATTTTGTAAAACGTGAAGACTTTTTTTTATCTCTCTTGAGTTACAAGATGTGACTAATGTTCCCCTATCTACGGTGAGCACATTTTAATATGCCCACCGCTTATGTGGCATGCACACATTGGTGATGTATTTTTTTGAACATATTAACATCACCAATGTGTGCATGACACATAAGCGGTGGGCACATTAACATGTGCCCACCGTGTGTAGGTGAACATTATTGTACAAGATGTACTCTCATACTCTTTTTTCTCTAATAAGATTTTTCAAGGTAAAAGATCTTGATTGCTCTCATTCTCGTCTCTCTAGGGCTTTTCAAGGTAATCTTGCTTGCTAATTCTTATGTGATTTTTGAGCAGATTATTGTATGTGCTATTGCTACTGGAACTTTCAAGTTATTATTATTATTTTTTTTTTTTATGCTTTCTAAAAAATGCTTTCAGATTATTCGCATGTGATATTTGAGCAAATTATTGTATGTGTTATTGTATGTACTCTAAAAATCTTGTTTGTTTATGCTTTCTTGTTCTATGAACTCCAAAGAAGTCATGATGAATGAAGGTATTTTGTCTGAGAAATTAATTGATACACTATTTAATTTTTTAATTACAAAAATGGGGTTTTTGGCTATAACTTGTTCGTTAAAAAGTGATGCGGCTTTATTTATAGTGGGTATTTAGTTATTATGCACATTAGTTTCTATGAGAATTTTCATACAAATTTTTAATTATTATATTTAGAATAATATAAAATAAAAGTCTTATAGAGTCTCAAAAAGTTAACATTGGAAGTCTTAAAAAGTCTCCTTAAAAATTCTCCAACAATCTCACAAAGTCTACAAAAGTCACTAAAAATTGTATAAAGTCCACTAAAGTCATTCATTTTAAAAAGTCTTAAAAAGTCATTAAAAGTCCTAATTGAATACACCCTCGTTATAATGCATCATTATGTTCCGTGTGTTAGATCTTTATTCATGTTTCCTATTAGCCGTTCAGATTGCTTAAATATTTTGTTGTGAAGTACAAAAACAAATTTGTTATTATATTTCAAAATCATAATAACTCGTTACAAAACATACTTACCTATGAAATATAATAACAAAATTGTAATAAACAAAAAATCTTGGAGCATAATCTTTACATGTTGCAAACATAAACACCATCCAACCCAAGTTAAACTGACTAGACCTATCGACATTCGGGCTAAACGGTACGAGTCTAAAAAGCCTTGATTTAAACAGACTACCGATAAAAGGTCATAGCCCTTATTTTTTGGGCTAAACGGGCCGCTCTGTCGTGCCAAGGACCGTTCAATATCTCTAAATTACAACGGGTCAAACACAGTCAAGAACATATAAACATGTTATAAAGACCGGCTTTGACTCTCGCCGGCACAAGATTGGGCATGGAGGCCATGATTCCACATGTCAATCCTTTGATCAATTAGCCGTAAGTCGGGCCCCCAAAAATAAAACAACCACCAACCAGTAGAATAGAAGATAAAAATCTCCAAATCGCTATGAACCATACATTGTAATGTGCATCTTTGTTCATTTGAGAAACTTCAAACTTGTGCTTCCTTCAACTCCAAAAATAAATAAAATAAAATCAAAAGAAGATAATAAATCTTCGCCCACCAGTTTCTTGTGGCTCTCATCCCTTTGAATCATCTGAACCAAAATCCCTTCACAACAAATATAACATTTAAAATATATATAAAATAATAATAATAAAAAAAATAATCACTTAAAGAGTATCCAAAAAAATTTTCTTCCACACACAAAGCCTCCTGATCGTTGTATCCATGGCGGCTTGTGGTTCAGTTTCGTCGTCTGCTTTTCTCGGGAGCTGGGGCTCTTCCATAGCCGGCGACGTGAACCAGCTGCAGCCCAAGGCGGCGGTGAGGGTGGCGCGGCCGGTCCGACCCCAGCCGGTGGTGATGAAGAATGCCAATGAAGGGAAGGGCATTTTCGCACCCTTGGTTATTGCGACGAGGAATGTTATCGGGAAAAAGAGGTTTAATCAGCTCAGAGGCAAAGCCATTGCTCTTCACTCGCAGGTAAACTAATTTTGATTTGATTTCTTCGTGTTCTCTGTTTGATCTTTCGTCGAATTGAAAACAACACTAGACTAGTGATTTGATCATCCCTCAGCTTTGCGGTGACCCTGTAACTTTGTCAAACATGAGCCCATTAACTAGAGCTGTAAACGAGTCGAGCCGAGCTCGGCGCGTTTAATAAACGAGCCAAAATTCGAGCTCGAGCCTTAATGAGTCGATCTCGAGCTTTAACGAGTCCAACTATAAAAACTTACATAAAAAAATCTATTTTCGAGCCTTATTGAGCGGATCCGAACTTGGCTCGTTAATCAATCAAGCTTTAAATTAGCTCGAGCCAGGCTCATTTAGTTTAACAGCACTACCATTAACCTTTTTGTTGTTTTAGCAATAGAGTATGAATGGGAAACTCTTTGATTTGCAGGTCATAACAGAGTTCTGCAAGTCGATAGGAGCAGACTCGAAACAACGGCAAGGGCTAATCCGATTAGCGAAGAAAAACGGGGAGTGGCTTGGCTTCCTTTCTTGATCACAACAACAATGTGCCCATAGCATTTCTGTATTAATTCCAATATACTGAGATTTTAGAGTGTAATCTAAACATGGCCATCTGATATGCCTTCTAAATGTCAGCTTTTAATCTCTTAATCTCTGCTTTTAAATTTTACTTCTGTATGTCTATGCTTTTGCTGTTTTTATGCGCACTGTTTCACTGATTTGTTGCAGCTCACACTGAGGCCTCATTCATTCCACAAAATATTTTTTTGTAAGAAAATCGAACTCATTACTCACTTATATCACTTTTCCCAGCTTAATTTCAATAATACAACTTTTTTTTTATATATATATAAATCTATATTGACATACATTTTTTTTTTTTAATAAAATTTACTTTTCATCTACGCATATATTAGGCCCAGCCTAAGCCCAGGGGAATGTATGTTGATTATTTTTGTTATCTGCAAGTACGCGGACATAAAAGTAGGTAGAATGAAGTTGGTCTTGTATTTGTCACGAATAATGTAACAATCAATCTCAATATGCTTTGTCCTTTTGTGGAAAACCGGATTGGCTGTATGATTATCACACCAAAGTGTGATTGGCGAAACAGGTTCCAACTGAAACTCCTTGGCAAGATAGTAGATCCACCGCAATTCACAAACGGTTGTACTCATAGACCTATATTCAGCTTCGGCCGATGATCTCTTCTTTGGTAGCTATTTCCGAGAGATAGATAGAGAGAAATCGAGTTACTGTAACTTGCTTCTTAATCTTTCGAGATATGAGACTGCTCCCAACAAAAATACAATATTCTGTAATTGATCTACGAGTGTCCCAACAAAAATACAATATTCTGTAATTGATCTACGAGTGTCTTTACAAGTGGCTCAATCATCATCACAAAGACACTTAAAGTAGGCAGTGGGTTGGAGATGAGAAACAACCCACGGCTGATAGTACCAACTGAAATTGTTGCATCCCAATGTTCAGTAAAAGGACCATTAACAAACAGGCTCAGTTGTTGAACTGTATAGCTCACATCTGACCTACTCATGTTAAGATATATTTGAATAAACTTTAGTTATTACACCGAAGGCTTCATAATGGCCCTTGCGCTTTAGCCATGACTTGCCTTTTTCGCATCCGGCGCTCGCCTCTTCCTTTTTTCAACCACCAATCCTGAAAGTTGCTTTGTTTGCCGCCGTTGATTAGCTTCATCTTTCCTCCTCTAATTCAGCCGGTTAAATTCATTGATGGATCAACCCCTGGGTATGAATAGGTTTATTTTCCGACCATACGAACGAAGCGAAGTGAAGTCATAGAGCGTGCTGATTCGATCTATGATCCCCTCTTCTTTGACTTCTTTGTTCTTCTTTTGAGGCCCCTTCCCCAAACTTCATTGACTTATTGCCAGTTTAAAGCGTAGCTGCAAAACCCGTAGCGAGGCCGGACCTGCCTACTCATTCATTAAGAAAGGGCGGGTGGATTCGGAAAGCGAAACCGTCCGTTATTTCATATGTGATGACAGGCCGAAGCAAAGCAAAAGACTTTTTCTTACTCCTACTAGGTGTGATTCGTTGAACATAGATCCAATTTTTCCATTTTTTTGATTCTTTGGAATTTGGTTTTCCTGTTCTCCTTTGATTTGATTAGAATGTAGGAGGCGCGGGATGGGCTTCGGAGTTGCTTTGACCTTACCATACCATTGGGGTTGTTGGGGCGTCTTGTCTTTCTCTTCCAGAGGTGATACGGGCATTAGGAAAGACAGGGTTACCAGTTGCGTCACTTTCTCGAGACACCTATTTATGCCTTCGGGAGACTTGAGGGAATAAGAGCGTTTACGAGTTCGCGATAAGCTCTTTCCTCGAGAAAGCCCTTCTACGCTTTTCTAAACCTAGAAAGCGAAAAATAAACTTTAGTTATTACACTTATATTTAACAAATCAATCTCTTTGAAGATTATTTTTTCTCTTAGAAAGCTTTTCCTATCACTTTCCAATAATTAAAGAAAAATAAAAATTGAATCAAAATTATCCAAACACACCAGAAGCACGAGACGAGCAACATTCCGCAACCCCCCGACTACTAGTTGTCTTTCGTACTTTGTGATTTTTCCAAATGAAGAAACGTTTGCATTCTAAACATTCCGCAACCCCCGATTACTAGTTGTATTTCTTACTTTGCGATTTTTTCCAAATGAAGAAACGTTTGCATTCTACTATTAGAAACCACAATGCGAAAATTGCAAGTGTCGCTCTAATAGCGGTAATACTGAAATCCAAGGTGCTAATATCTTGGTTTGAGTTGCTTTCTGTAATTATAATTACAATGTTTGCAATACAACAATCCCTGAACAAAGCCATCTTTCTCAAGCTGCATAAAGTAAAAATCCCTGTGAAGCCTTAATGATAAAAATAGAACTACTCAAAAAATCAAGTTTTAAAATACATCTCACACAAGCAAAAATACTGATTCAAAATTGCAAAGTACAATGGAGGGATTCATAAAAGTATTTTTCTCAACCCGGAGCTGGATCACAAGAATGCTTTTGTTTGCATTATGATATGATCGTGTTCTTCAGACATGATATCGGCTTTTTGCTGATCTCTCCCTCCGGGAGTCATCCTGTAGCAACCACCCAGTGAAAAAATGAAATGTGAGAAAAAACAGTTGAAAAAAAGCATGAGAACGTCAAATGCAATGGAGTCAAAAACATACATGGAAGCTGTAAGATATCTTATCGGTCACATCAATAATCTCCTTCCACTTCCTCCCGATGCCCATCTGCAATGGCCATACGTAATTGAGAATTTTGTATACGTTGAAACTACATGAGGACTATAGAGCATAACGGCTCGACATTTTATGTGGTTTGGACAATATTGATTAAATAATTAAGAGGTATATCCAACCAAAAGGAGTCAAAAACTGTGTGTTCACACAAATAGTTGATGTCAATTATTAATAACTCACCAAACAAGTGGTGTCCAATTTATGCAAGAGTGCTACTACAAGCTCTCTTAGATATCAATTGTTATTTCATTTATTCCAATAATCGGTCTTTTGGTCCATCTGTTCAGAATATCTATTGGGGTTAGGGTTATGACTATTTAACAAGTCAAGCTACTGGTTCAAGTTCACTGGTCTGACTTGAACCGGTTGGACCGTTATTTAATTATTAATATTATTATATTTATAATAATTTTATAAGTTATATATAAGAACTTTGTTAATTAAATATTTAGACAATTTAAATATTTAAATGCTTACACTAAATAATAACTAACTTATATATATCCATTATATTTAAATGTGTTTTTTTATTAATATTCCAATTTTTTTTTTAATATTAAAGTTTATTAAAAAAAAAAAAAAAAACTGGACCGATCCAACCGGTCGGTGTTTGGCTAGTTTGAATCGGTTCAACCGGTTTTTGACCGGTTCGCTGGCAAACCGTTTCATTCCAGCGAACCGGAGTTTGTCTTGAGTTGTTTTAAGTTATTTACTTAATTAATAATATCAAATATCTATTATTTCCGTTTGCTTTCACCCTTAACTATCAACTTGAGCAGGAAAATTTTTCCCAAAGTATCGGCTTTAGGCTGCGCCGGATTCGTCCCGGATTGTTTTTAACTTATTTACTTAATTAATAATATTGATTATCTTTTATTTTTGTTTGCTTTCACCTTTAGCTCTATCAACTCTATCAAGCTTATTGTTTCACAGGGCATATGCATTCCCCGTCCCGGATTGTTTTTAACTTATTTACTTAATTAATAATATTGATTATCTTTTATTTTTGTTTATTTTTGTTTGCTTTCACCTTTAGCTCTATCAACTCTATCAAGCTTATTGTTTCACAGGGCATATGCATTCCCCTTCTACCAGGGGTAATTTGGATGTGCTGAAAATTTTGCTACTTTAGACTATTATCACCTATCCACAATTCAGCTTTTGCTCAATGGGTTATGACTGAGCTCAACTCTCGCTTAAGGAATATCACAAAATTCTAAATCGTTCACCAGAACTCCTCACATTCAAATCTGAATTCTTTCCATCATACTAAACTTTTGCAAGGCACACTGATTGCTATTGTGCATGATTATAAGTTTAACATACATTCATAAGAGATTTGAGGGATCCAATTGAAATGACATACTGTTGCTCTGACTTTGAAGAATTGGCATTGAAAAAGGGCCTCTAACATCACAAAACAGTTGGAGTACCCTATTAATGATTTTTTTTAAGTTGTTATTTTCTGCAACATCAGGTGGATCTATAAAAGATGTCAACTAGACACATTGACTTGTATGTCAATAAATCTTTTCAGCTAGGCTTCCTTTTAAGTGCTTGTAAACAAAGATAAGCAGATCATATCATGCAGTAAACTTAGATAAAATTGGTGAAACAATGTCACGAATATAATGCCAAGACAAAACTAATAGTTGAGCGGACTGCTATTATGATTCAAATACCTGAGCTGCTTCATTAGCTGCAGTCTTGGTCCACAATGAGAGTTTATCTTGCCTCTGGCGCACGCTGGCAACCACTCCACATATCTCATCAGCCTCATCAAATTGCTCCCCAATTAAAGCCATTAACTACCCAATAACATGCAGCAGTCAAAAGAAATTAAAAAACAAAGTAGTCAAGTAATTAAAAAAAAACAAACTATGACCTGTCCTGACTTCCAATTAGCTTTAGCACAGAATAAAGGAAGGAGGAAAATGCTGTAGGACTGCTGTTAAGGTCTTATATAAGTAAAGTGTGTGTTACAGAGGGACTCACTATCTGAGATAGTTTGAGTATAATTTGAGTAACAAAGGGCATAACGAAACCTCTATGATTCAATTAAACACACGCCTATTCATTGTCATACACCATATACATAGGCATTTCAGTTGAACAACAAACAAAAGTTGGTCCCTTAAATTCTTTTTATTAGCAATTTGCTCTTATACTCGTATTATGTTAACGAGTATACTATTACCAAAAACTCCAAAACTACAAAAATAAAGGTTGTCTTACAGTTTCAAGCCACATGCTGTCCAGATTAGCCTTCTTGCTGCTTGTAACAGTCCACTTTCCCCCATTAGCACACTCAATGTCCTCCCATTTGGGCTCCACTCCAGCTCTGAATAAATGAATGTCGGCAGATGCAGGGAACTTGCTTGGTCTGAATATCTGATCATATAAACTGCAAGAGAAATCACCACCACTTCACAAGTGAGGTAAAGTTTCTAAACCATACTTGCCAATTTCACAAACTCCCAGTGGAAACGCATCAAAACTTGTATTCAATAGTATCTAGCTCTTCTAATGATGACACAAATAAACCCAACAACCATGCTCACTTCTTACTTTACCAGTTCAGAGCATCTTTATCAAATTCCACCACTTGGTCACCACAAACCATAGTTTACCTTATATTGCATCATGCATGCATGCTACCAACCCACCCCAAAGGCTGGGGTGGGCTCCAACCCCATCTTAATTTTTCGGCTATGTTAATTTTATACTGATAAAAAAATATTTTAACCCATGTTACATTATATTAGCACAATATTAATCTTATTTTGGCCCAAAATAAGTTAATTTGTTTACATTAAATCAATGAATTATATATTTAAACGTGATTTAAGTTTGTTTCCACTTTTCTTTTTAGATTATTATGGCTCTTTTATACCATTCCTGTTTGATTAAATAGATTTTATTTCAATAACTTTATTCGAGACAATATTTAATTGTGTTAGACTTTTATTAGAAGACTTAGTATGTAATTGGATTTATAGATTTTACAATCAGTATACATATTTACAGAAATTTTAAATAAATGATAGTTGATAAATTTACTACTAAATCTCATTACAAGTTCAATGAAATGACATATGTACTTTAAATGACATGACATATTACAAGAATGACTGGACTATTACACATTTTATAGTAGTTCTTTGAACAAAATATGTTTTTTGTTAATTAAATAAGTACATTAGAAAATTTATCTTTATCCATTTAAAAAAATGATGAAACAATTAAAAATAACTATTTGTCATATGTATAAGAGAATAGTTAAAAATTCACAATTTTTTGTTCATGGAGAGTCATATCCATATAAAACACGACTAGTTAGAAAGTATATATTTAATGTGTGATTCATGTAATTTATTTTAAGGTTTAAAAATTATTTTATAGACTACATTAAACGTATGTCTAGCTAGATCTTTTGAATCGAGTATTTCAAGTTCGAACTTGTGCTCATTTAATAAACAAGTTGTCGTGGCTTAGTTGTTTAATAATAAAATAAAAATTTGAGCTAGGGTTCGATCCAGTTCAATTCATTTAAGACAACCTTCGCACTTAGAACAAAACCCAAAACTCTAATTGAATTATTCGCGAACACGCTCGACTCAACTTGTGTGATAGACAAGCTCGATTAGTTGTTCGATTTTGGCTTGTTTAAATATACAAAAAAGTCAAGATCGAGCTTTTACAAAGTCGAATCAAACTATGTTAGAGAACAACTCGGTTCGAATAGCAACAACATATTTTGCAGCCCAGTGTGAAATTTTTTTTCTGCCTACGCCCCTGCTACCAATCATGATTTTTCTACAAGTTAACAAAATTGAATGGACACGCATCAAACTACACCGAAAGTATCATATCTAACGGCGACCTAAAGAGTACAAACAATCACAAACAAACCAAATTCCCCAAGTCCAAAATTATTGAGTAAAGCCATAAATATTTCATAAAAACAAAATCTGCAGCTATTTTTATCATCACATACCACCAGAACTCTTCGACTGTGCCGAAAGTGTAAGCCTTGCGGAGATTGGAGCCCCAGACGTCTCCCTGTTTGGGTTTCGACTGATTGTCGTACCAAAACGTCCACTTCCTCTCGAGGTGGTGCGGCTGTTTCTCCACCGTGATCGGAGCTACGGCCGAGAGTTCCGATGTAGGAGCTGCCGTATCAGTCGCCATCCGACCTAATCTAGTTTAGGAGAAAAAGGGTTTTCGAGAGGGAAAGAGAAGGAGAGAGACGGATCTACTTGGCTTTTGAGGTAAAGTGCGGGAGTTGAAAGATGTATTATGTATTTTTTTTCTATTAATATGTATATATATTTATGGGCATTCATATGTATACTAGTACAATACCCGTGTATTATACGGGTGCTTGTTAAAAAATTATTTTTAAATTTTAAAATTAATGAGAAAATTATATTAAATTTAG